TGACCTGTTGTAGTATCGCAGGTTGGACATTTAAACTGGCCAAATAAACACCTTCAACCTGATTATAAAATTGAATTTTCTGCACAACCTTTAAAAGCTTCCACTCAGAAACCATCATACAAGCTAGTGTACCTATATTCTTCCTACTAACTACATCTGCTACTATAGTACCCTTGTTTGAATGATATAAGATCTTATAGTCATAATCTTTTAGTAGTTCTATCCATTGCGTCTTACACATGTTAATATCTTTCTGAGTGAAAATATATTTTAAACTTTTATGATCAGTATAGATCTCGAATGTTTTACCGTACAAATAATGATGCTAGAGTTTTAGGGCATAGACAATTACAGCAAGACTAAGTCATGAATGGGGTAATTTCGTTCATGTGTCTTCAGTTGTCTAGACCCGTACACTATAACCCATTTATGCTGCATTAAAATACATCCCAATCCCTGATAAAAAGCATCACTGTATATTGTATACCCACCAGTCCCATTTGGTAAAGTTAGCACATGAGTTATGGTCAACCATTGCTTGAGCTCTGTGAAACTTCTCTCACATGCTTCATCCCATTCGAACTTAACATCTTTTTTGGTAAACCAAGTAAGAGGAGCTGCAATCTTGGAAAATCCCTTCACAAACCTGCGATAATACCCAGCTAATCCCAAAAATTCTCTGATATCCTTGACTGTGGCCAATCGTTCCCAAGTTAACACGATCTCAATTTTGCAGGGATCCACTAATACACCATCTTTTGATATTACATGTCTTAGGAAGGCAACCTGATCCAACGAAAAATCACACTTATTTAACTTCGTATACAACTTCTTTTCTCTAAGAACCTGCAAAACTTGAGCCATATGTGAAACATGTTCCTCCTTATTCTTAGAGTAGACCAAGATATCATCAATGAAGACTATGATAAATTGATCAAAAAATGGTCTGAGGAGCTTATTCATCAAGTTCATGAAGATTGTAGGTGTATTAATCAACCTAAACGGTAAGACAAGAAACTTATAATGTTTGTACCTAGTCCGAAGCCGTCTTTGGAATGTCTTCAGCTTTTACCTTTATTTGATGGTACCCTGAATGTAGATCAATCTTAGAAAAGACTTGTGTACCCTATAGTGGTCAAAGAGATCATCAATTCTGGGAAGGGGGTACTTATTCTTGATTGTAACTCTATTTAGCTTCCTGTAATCTATGCACAATCTCAATGTCTCGTCATTCTTCTTTGCAAATGTGATTGGAGCACCCCAAGGACTATACCGGATGAAACCCTAATCCAAAAGTTCTTGAAACTGCTTTCCCAACTCATTCATTGCAATTTGGCTCATCTTGTGTGGGGCCAATGAAATTGGTTGAGTACCTGGCTAAAGATCGATGGTGAATTATACTTCTCGATCTACAGGTAATCCTAGTAGGTCATCAGGGAATACATCCAGGAATTCCATGACTACTGAAATTTCTTAGATATCAACTCCCTTACTTATCTTACCTATTACATATTAAGATTATTATATCACATCATATAAATTAAAATCAATAAATTATTTTCCTTATACGCAAATAATTAAGAAGAAAAAGGAAAAGTCATTAGCACAAAAAAGGTGCTTAATTAGGAATATTGAGTACAAGCTTCTTGTAGTAGCAGTCAATAGTAACATGATAGGCTGCTAACCAGTTCATCCCTAGTATCACGTCAAAATCGTTAATATATAATAATAGTAAATCTACCTCAATTTCTTTATATGCGACTTTTATAATACATCACTTGTAAACTATATTGGCTGCCATATTACCATTTGCGGGGGTAGACACTACTAAAACAAGATCAAGAGACATAGGAACAACACTTAAATATGGTGCAAATGCATGTGAAACAAAAGAATGTATAGCTCCAGGATAAATTAAAACATGTGCTATGTGCTTGCAAATAAGGTACGTACCTTAAATCACGTCGGGAGTAGCTTCCGTATCCTTAGCTGTGATGGCATAAACTCAGCTTAGGACTGCTGGCCTAGCTTGCGATTGAGGTTGGGGCCAATCACGGATCTGATGATTGGTACTTCTACATTTGAAGTAGGCATTGTTGAGCTGGTAACACGAGATGCTCCCATGATTCTTGCTACAGTGAACGCAACTCTAATCTTGTTTGGCCAATAAATTTTGGAGTGGGGTAGCTCATATTCTGGTGGCGCTGGCTTTGGAGTGGTTTTTTACAAGGGATTGGACATTTGGAACTACTTTTTGTCGGTGCAGATGTCTCAATAATACTCTCAATGAGTTGCGCATTGACCAGAACCTACTGATAGGTATGAAGCTCAAGTATTACAAAGGGATTCCTAATCTCTTGACGGAGACCCCATTGAAATCTTCGAGCCATCTTCCCTTCATCAGATGTAATCTCGGGAGACTAGCAGCTAAGTTATGTGAATCTTCTAGCATAATCAGTGACTGAGAGGCTTTCTTGGGTAAGTTAGGTGAACTCTATCTTTTTTTATGACGAATGTGGTTAGGGAAGTACTCAGTATTAAACGACTCCAAAAAGTGCTCCCATTTGATGGGCATGGGTAGAGTAGTCTGTTTAATTTCCCACCAGTGCTCTGTATCTCCCTCAAATATAAAGGTGGCGAGGATAACCTTCTATTCATCAGTCACCCCCATAACTCTAAAAGACTTTTCAGTTATTTTTAGCCAATTCTTAGCCTCATAAAAAGTCGATGCTCCTATAAAGGGGACTGGATTCAGTTACTTGTACCTCACAACATAACTTGGATCCATCACTAGTAGAGTTGGGCCTTGTTGAGGTGGAGGAGGAGGTGGAGGATCTGGTAGGTCCCCCTATGTAGCAACAGATGGAGGATCCGAAAGGTCCTTCCTTTCTTCTCTAGCTTGTTGACTAATAATGAGTCTCTTCACCAAGTTGTAAAGACGATCAACATCTTTCCATAATGATTTTATTTGAGAAGATCTGTTCATGGGGGGTCGTCATCGCCTCATTTTTATTTGCCTACATCACTATACAAAACTTTCAAGATTTACATTTTTAAAATTATATTCTCAACTGTAATCTTATGCTTAAGTCTCATGCACAAGGGACGGTTACGAAGAACGTGGGTTCTGATATCAATTGTGACAGCCTGGACTCCCATTCAGAATCTTGACCATTCGCACATCATTTCATGATAAAATAATCTGTAATAATAATTCGCGTAATAATTTAAAATAATAAAAGGTACATCATTTGCATGTCTAGCTCAAAATATCCAGTATCCGTGAGACATATCTAAACTTTAAAATAAAAATTCACAAATAATGAAATGATTAACATTAAGTACCGTTCGAATTGAAATAAAAATTAAAAGATCTTCTAGTAAGTCTTTCACTGTTTAGAAGCGGGGTTCTAAATATCATGATTTGAAAGAAATGAATAATAAATAGGATGAGCTTAATATGCTCAGTAAGCATGTAAATATCAAAAAATAATAGGGTAATTTGTCTAAGTTGGTAGAAAACATAAAACTGTCGACGGAGATGGTTCAAAATATTTTTATCTTTAATTCAAAAAACACGTAATATCTAGACTCTAATTCATTAACCAAACCTTATAAATCAATTTATTTAGTAAACATTGAGAATTCATTATTTTAGTATCATAACTTAGGGTATAAATAGTGCAATAAATAACATAATTCAGTATTCAGTATCATAATTTAGGCAGTAAGCAGTTCAGTATTTCAGTATCATAAACATTACACACGACTTTCTATTCATTCCTATCAGCTTATATCCTATAAAATAACTTCACCACGCGATGTCATTTATGTAAGTATCAACGAGAGTAGTAAAGATCCCTTTTACCACGTGAATACGTTACAGTTGAGCTCACAGTTTATAGTTTACAATACATAGTATTTAGTTCATAATTCCTATCACTTCGTCACGTCTAACTAAAATAGTATCCATAGGTAGGGTTCACCACAGTCACACGCCAAAAAGGTACACACACACACCCACTATTCGATGATACCAGTTAAATGAGTTTTTCAAATATTTTATTATCTATTTATTTATTTTAATTCACTAATTAATTTTCTAATTTTTATTATTTAATATATTTTATACCTATAACATGCATACGGTAATCATTCATTACCCTAGATTCTTCTACATATTCTTACTATACTCTAAATTACATAGAAACTAGTACATCTACGAATTCAGTTACCAAAACATAGTAAAACAATTCATCAGCAATTTTAATAGTAAATATAAATAAGAACACAATAATCAGTAGTAAAATCCCGTCGGAATCATGTGCCTAATCATTAATTATTAAATATCATAGTTTTTAATATATTAGAAAGATTAAACTACATTTGTAAGCATTCATACACTTATCTGATTTCAGTCTAAATCTCTTTCGTGAAGTTATCTCTAATGTATAAGATCAACTTATTACAGCGATATCCGGATCGGGTTAGTAATGAGCTAGTTATTCCCTAATTTCAAACACTCGTGTCTATACTTATTTCTAATTATAAACCAGATATGTAATTTGTTATATTAAAATTAAATAGGATTAATAAATCCTAAATCTAAAACAATAAACCATCAAGGTTTTTTTTTTAACTCTCCTTAATTTATTTATACAAAAGCTAGATTCAATAAACTTTAAAAAAAATATATTCTTATATATACATTTTCATTTAACCGCTTACAAAATTTTCACACGTAATCATGTTTCCTCATGTGTATATATATATATATATATGTACTTGTTAATTTTTATAAGTAGAAATTAATATAATATATATTCTTTGGTCCAGTACAAATATAATATGAGTCCATTACAGGAAAAATAAATAAAAATAATAATAAATAAAAGTAAGAAAAAGTGCACCGTCGCCGTTAACAAACGGCACCACTTGGTTGGGTGTTATCTTGTGGAGGCTTTTACCGGAGTTTTTCTTACATAATGAACTCCGTTTCTGTTTCTATCCTCCTCTTGTTTTCACTCTCGCACTAACACAAATTCATCAAAACTCTCTCTGCTTTTTTCGTTTCTTTTTTGGGTTTTGTTGTTTTCCTTTCGATCGATAAATGCAAGAAAATTCTCGTTGTTTCTGTTCTTTTTGGATATAAACAAGAAGAGAGGGAGAAGAAGAAAAGTAGTGGATACTGGGATTGATAAACAGGAAAATGGTTGATGTGGTTGCAGGAGATGATGATGATATGGTGGAGATGAGAATCGTCGTAGTTCATGGATATCCCTCTTGCTTTACTTTCCTTGACGCTTGTCCCCAAAGGTACAAATTGATTTCCCATATGTCTCTCTTGTAGATCTTTCACTCTGATTTTCCCCACTTAAGATTCAATTTTTAGTTTTTTTTTTATCTTATTTTGGTGTGGGTATAAAAGGTCAAATATTACACGGAAGAAGAAACTTTTCTTTTTTGGAATTTTTTATGGATTTGATGGTTATGATTGACTGTTTCCCACCAGTGTTTGGAGGATTTCGAGAGATTCTTGGGCTGGGGTTAGATATTGTCTTTCTTTAGCCTATTTGTTTAATCTCTTTCTCTCTCTCGTTTCGTAGAGATTGAAGAGATTCTTTTTTTTAAAAAAAAAAGTTTCTTTTAATAATTTTCTGGGTTTGGTGTTTGTATAAGGTGCCTATTTCTTGAAAAGAAAGTACACAAATTTTGCGGTTCTTCTTTAAATTTTTGTTTGTACTTTTTTTTTAATAATAAGGGAGTAATTAAGTTGAATTTTGCTTGATTTGTTGATTTGTTTGTCTGGGTTTGTGGGGAATTTCGCTATTTTATTGTCTGCTTGAGATGTATAGCATTTTGATGGAGGGGAGATCTTGTGGAGATTGATATGATCATATGATGAAGGCGTTCATAAGCTTGTTTTGTTGAATTGTTTTATTGCGAAATGGAAATATTCTACCTACCAGCCACAGAACCTACCATGGAGATGAGCTGAAATGGGAGATTCCCTTCTCACAGCCCTGTCAATGGAGAATCATCACCCATCCACCTTGTTATCTATGGACTCAAGTGCTTCCTCTCACGAGGAATTGGACTTGGAAATGAACCGGCAGATCATTCTTTCGCGTCCACCGGATATCAATTTGCCCCTTTCAGCAGAGCGTAGCCCACCTCCACAGCCATGGAACTCAGAGTCATGTGATATTTTAGATGTTGGGCTCAGCTCACAAGTTTATGAGACTGAGAGTTATATCAGTATCCCCAAGGTTGGGAGAAAATGCGCCAAGCGGGTTGATAGCATTTGGGGTGCTTGGTTTTTCTTTAGCTTCTATTTTAGGCCTGCGTTGAATGAGAAATCTAAGGCCAAAGTTATCCGCGACAGCAATGGAGTTTCGGGGTTTGAAAAATCCGATGTCAGACTTGATGTTTTTTTGGTGCAACATGATATGGAGAACATGTACATGTGGGTTTTCAAGGAAAGGCCTGAGAATGCACTGGGAAAGATGCAGCTGAGAAGCTACATGAATGGGCATTCTCGCCAAGGGGAGCGGCCATTTCCTTTCAGTGCAGATAAGGGATTTGTCCGATCTCACAGGATGCAAAGGAAGCACTACAGGGGACTTTCAAACCCTCAGTGTCTTCATGGTATTGAACTTGTTCCATCTCCCAATCTCATGACTCTTGATGAGGACGAACAGAAAAGGTGGATGGAACTTACAGGAAGAGACTTGAATTTCAGTATTCCACCTGAAGCTAGTGACTTCAGTTCATGGAGAAACCTTCCAAACACAGATTTTGAGCTCGAGAGGCCTCTTCCAATAAAGAGTGCCCCAAATTCTCACTCAAAGAAACTGCTCAACGGTTCTGGACTTAATTTGTCAACTCAGCCGACAAGCCACAGCAATGGTGATGGAATGGATCTATCACCAGTAAGCAGTAAAAGGAGGAAGGACTTCTTTCCACATGGTAATGGTGATGATGATTGTTACCTAGCAGTGAATCCTCCATCTGATAGGATCTCTGACATGGAAATTCACACCCGTGAGCCTCACTGGTTAAATGAATTCAGTGGGGTGATGAAGAATGTACATGGGCCTGTTACTGCTGCAAAAACAATCTATGAGGATGATAGTGGTTATTTGATCATCATCAGCTTGCCATTTGTGGACCTCCAGAATGTGAAGGTTTCATGGAGGAACACTCCCACACGTGGTATTATAAAGGTCTCTTGTGTGAGCATATCTCGCATGCCTTTCATCAAGAGACATGATAGGACATTCAAGCTTACAGATCCAGCTTCCGAGCACTGCCCTCCTGGTGAATTTGTAAGAGAAATTCCTCTTTCAACTAGGATTCCTGAGGATGCTAATGTAGAAGCTTATTATGATGGACCAGGATCAGTGCTAGAGATTATGGTGCCAAAGCTACGTATTGGACCTGAAGAACATGAGGTTCGTGTTTGCCTTCGTCCTCACCTTGGGGGAAATGACCTTATGTTGACCTGAATAACTAATTAAGAATTTTGAATTTTGAGGGTAGTTGTGCTTCATTCCTTAACTTGCTTGTGTACCATACTTTGAACCCATGAAGAAAAGAAACTGGCATTTATGATTTCCCTTGTTAAATCTTTTTGCTTGCTAACTGCTGTGGGTTTGACTGTAGGTATGATTAGTTTGGGAAAACCTCAATTACATTTATTTATATGAAGTTACAATCACAATTTATTTGAGTGTCTGTTGAATGTTAGTTGTTGACCTTTCTATAGCTGTTTTATCTCCCTACCATTGTCAGTTGCGTATATGTATCATTGATGATATGAGGCTGAGAGCTGATAATACATTTATACATGCAGAGAATATAATGAAATGGAGAGGGAATGGGCATTATGTTGTTTGGAACCAGTTACTTACTTTTTGGTAGCTTTTCTTTCAAGTTCTTTTGTGTTGGTTGGTGAAATATATGTATAGAATTTTATTTTGAATACATGTTTTCAGTACAAGTCTTTTTCTGTTGATTTTTCTCTACTTTTTGGGTTTTGGGTGTCAATATAAATTAATATATCTTTAAGCATTGACAACATCAACTACTTTTAAATTGAAGGTTCATGCATCATCTTTCTCTCACCGCGTGATTGGTGTCATTTTACAGAGTTGACAGTTTGGATTCCATTGGGAACCGCTTATTGTGGCTTATAATACTTGTAGTGCCGATAGGCGGAGATGGTTTTTTTTTTTGTTAATTCTTATGAAAACTTTTGTTGGAACAAAATATTAATAAATAAATTAGAAAGAAAGAGAGAGGAGTGGATAAGTAGAGAGATTATGATAAGCTGATAGATAAGCGTAGGAGACATGAATGGTTGGTCGAGGGTAGTCCCGTTATCACGTTAATACTTTTTATGGGTATGCCGGTGGCAGTTTCCCAGACGTAAACCTATACAAGCATCTCCTTTTTGTCTTTTTTTATATTTCATCTTTATCTCACACACAAACACATATATATATATATATATGTACACGTATACATATACATGTTGAGAAAGGAGTAATATGTTGCAAGGATGCTTGAATAGGTCGACGGCATTATCTTGATGTGTTCAAGAAGATAATATCTTCCCTCATTTCTGCCTTTTGAGGCTTTATTCATCTTTGTTGTATGCATTACATATGAAAGTAATAATTACTAATGCAACTTCTTGCACGTTTAAGTAGTATAAAAAAATGAAATTTAAATAAATTACTGAATAAAATGAAGACAAAATCAAATATTTAAGGGAAAGCCTCTAAATCTAAAAAGTCATTTTATATCATTTTTTTTTATTATAATATTTAATTGATTGTTTTGTAATGAACGAATTTTTACCTCTGCTTATTTTAGGAACAAAATTCAGGCACACCTAATGGAACCATTATGTTTTTTTTTTATTTCTTTCTTTTTTTTCTCTCTAGAAATAGATGATCGAATATTTCAAGAATTATATACATTGTGTAAGGCAAGAGGAGGTTTCCTTTTTTTTAATTAGACCTAAATGCACAGTTTGTTTAGATAGCGTAAGGAGGTGTAGGATTAGCTGTTTAAGCAATTGTCGTCGTGTGTAATGGTAAACTTGGAAAAAATTGGATATGAAATTTGTTAATAATTTAAAGATTAGCTAAACCAATTATAGTAGATTTGAAGTTATTTGTAAAATATATTAATTACGAAATAAAGGAGGCATGAGGTTTTATTTATAAAACACTATATAAGTTCAAATATTTTTTATGCGAAAATAACAGAACAAATGATAAAGAAATAAGGAGATAAAAAGGTTTCATTGTTTGGTAAAAATTATTCCATTAACAAGTATTTGGTTAAAAAAAAAAAAAAAAAAAAACTCCATATACGAAATTGAAGTTTTGAAATTATTAGAGCTATGTTTGTTTCATTGAACTCCTTTTAGTAAGAAAACTAAGTGGAAGAAAGCTTGCACATAAAAAAATAAAGCTCTAATCATTTTTCCAATTAAGTTTTTTATAGAATGATGAAGGAATGGCATCTAATAAGACCATGTGCTTTGCTCTGCTCAACCAAACCATACAGTTTTAAGCGCACAATAAATTTTTGCACTCTTTCCAGAATGACACTGAGTTGCTTATTGAAATAAGATTGGGATAACGATTGAGGTATATGATACAGTGATCTTTAATTTTTTATTTTTTTTTTTTCCTTCGTATAAATTTAACAATCATCAATAGACCCATATGACATGTCATGGTTTGAGTGGCCATACAATTCCCTAGAAGCAATTTTTACCCCTCTTTATCTTTGTTGATAAATTGGACGATAAAATGTGGCTGCGGTCTGCGCCTGCATTCCCTCAAGTCACTCACCCAATACTACTTCTAAAATAAAAAAACTAAAAAGGAAGAACCACAAATAATTTATGCACACCTGGGCGGTCGCTATCCCACAAAAGCTGATCAATGTTTCAAACCTAAATTCAGCCTCCAGGCAAAAATACCAAATTATAAGTTCAACGAAATACTGAATATCCGATAACGAGACTATTAGAATTGTTCTTCAAAGCCATAAAAAACCAATTAAAGCCAAAATAATAAAAACCTAAGTTGCTGAAATGAAACCCACAAGATAAAAATAGGCAATGAAAATACTTAATCCACTTCCTCAATCTTGGGGCCAGCACCAGCACCAGCACCAGCACCACTTCCACCAGCACCAGGGGCGTCGTCATCCATTCCTGCACCCATATCAGCCCCAGCACCCTGGTACATTTTTGCAATGATAGGGTTGCAGATGCTCTCCAGTTCCTTCATTTTGTCCTCAAATTCATCAGCCTCGGCAAGTTGGTTGCTGTCGAGCCATTGGATGGCCTGCTCAATAGCATCCTCAATCTTCTTCTTATCAGGTGGAGGGAGCTTGGCACCAATCTTCTCATCCTTAACTGTATTTCTCATGTTGTATGCATAGTTCTCTAATGCGTTCTTGGCCTCAACTTTTTTCTTATGTTCCTCATCTTCCGACTTGTACTTCTCTGCCTCCTGAACCATCTTTTCAATCTCCTCCTTAGACAGTCTTCCCTTGTCATTGGTGATGGTGATCTTGTTCTTCTGACCAGTTGTCTTGTCCTCCGCAGAGACATTCAAGATACCATTAGCATCAATATCAAAGCACACTGTGATCTGTGGAACACCCCTTGGAGCAGGAGGGATCCCTGATAGTTCAAATTTGCCAAGCAAGTTGTTGTCCCGGGTCCTTGTTCTCTCACCCTCGTATACCTGAATCAACACTCCAGGCTGATTGTCGGAGTAAGTGGAGAAGACCTGCTCCTTCTTTGTGGGAATGGTTGTGTTCCTGGGAATCAACACAGTCATAACACCACCAGCTGTTTCTAGACCAAGAGACAGAGGAGTGACATCCAACAGCAGGAGATCCTGCACCTTCTCATTACCTTCACCACTCAAAATAGCAGCTTGTACAGCAGCACCATAGGCAACAGCCTCATCAGGGTTGATGCTCTTGCAGAGCTCCTTTCCGTTGAAAAAGTCCTGCAAAAGCTGCTGGACCTTGGGAATTCTAGTAGATCCACCAACAAGCACGACATCATGAACTGTGCTTTTGTCCATCTTGGCATCCCTCAAGCACTTCTCAACTGGTTCCATACACTTTCTGAACAGATCCATGTTGAGTTCTTCAAATCTAGCACGAGTAATGGTGGAGTAGAAGTCAATTCCCTCATACAAGGAATCAATTTCAATAGTAGTCTGGGCAGTGGATGAGAGGGTTCTCTTAGCTCTCTCACAAGCAGTCCTCAACCTCCTAAGTGCTCTCGGATTTCCACTGATGTCCTTCTTGTTCTTCCTCTTAAACTCCTGAACGAAGTGATTTACCATTCTGTTGTCAAAATCTTCACCTCCAAGGTGGGTGTCTCCAGCAGTGGCCTTCACCTCAAAAATACCCTCTTCAATGGTAAGAAGAGAGACATCAAATGTACCGCCACCAAGATCAAAGATCAAAACGTTCTTCTCGCCAACACTAGTTGCCTTCTTATCAAGACCATAGGCAATGGCTGCAGCCGTAGGTTCATTAATAATACGCATAACATTGAGGCCAGCAATGACACCCGCATCCTTTGTGGCCTGACGTTGTGAATCATTGAAGTATGCAGGCACAGTGACCACGGCATTCTTCACTGTGGATCCAAGGTAGGCCTCTGCAATCTCACGCATCTTCATGAGAACCATGGAAGAGATTTCTTCAGCAGCAAATTGCTTGTCTTCGCCTTTATAGTTGACTATAATCATTGGCTTGTCAGCAGGACCAGGAATAACCTTGAAAGGCCACAATTTAATGTCACTTTGAACAGAAGCATCACTGAATCTACGTCCAATCAACCTCTTTGCATCTGTTAAGAGCAAAAAATGTCAGAAATCCAATAAGGATAAGGATAAAATGATCATTTTCTAAGAAAAACAAATTTTAGACACTTTGCTCATTCCTAATATAAAGACTGAGCAGATTGATCAGACAATGCTCAATATGAGGCAATAGATAGATTGGATTGCAGCCCAAACCTTTTAACTCAGACAAGATCAAAACAGAAAAAGTCTTTAAACATTTTTTCATTCGTTCTGCTTCCGGTGTAGACAAATTTGGACTTTCTACTGCCAGAGTTCGAGTGAAAATATGTCAATTTACACTAGCACATGCTCAAACTCCAGTTACTGGGTTTTTCTCTCCATTATTCACACCCTTTTTCAGTTACACAACAAACCTAGCCAGGTTATTCAATTTGAAAGTACAAGGAAATACAGAAATAACTACCGCTAGCCTTCTCTGTCTAGTAGGAAACTTCACGTTATGATAACATCCTAGTAAAAGAATCCTTATTAAAAAGTATTAAATCAAGTTAAAATAAGACACCGTCTCAAAAACATACCAGTGTGAAAGCATTCAGTAATCGGCTATTAACATTTCAAAACAAATTATTAGGTTACAGATTCATTATATTTCATAGATCCAAAAAAAAAGCAAGAGATCTAGAATACTCCTTTTTACAAACCTAGAGGGAAATGAATGATTTGAGACCGGACACGCACTTACGACATCAAATAACTGATCCAATTAAATTCATGGAATCAAATCCTAGCCGAATAAATTAATCAATATCTCCTAAACATCTGGATCTACATATCATATATACCAAAAAAAAAGTTTCAACTAACAACAGATCTAGATCAGGAATAAGAAACGAGATCGAGAAGCCGAGCTCATACCGAAGACCGTGTTCACCGGGTTCATGGCAACCTGGTTTTTGGCCGCATCGCCAATCAAACGTTCCGTATCAGTGAACGCAACGTATGACGGCGTAGTCCTGTTTCCTTGGTCATTGGCGATGATCTCCACGCGGTCATGTTGCCATACTCCCACGCAGGAGTATGTAGTTCCGAGGTCGATACCAATAGCAGGACCCTCTCCTTTACCAGCCATCTCTGTTCTGCCCTAGTTTTGTCGACAGAGAAGAACTTGATAAAAAAAAACGAGAAAGAAATATAAAAGAAAAAAGAGAAAGCAAGAAGCTAAACACTAGGGTTTCAATTCAGGGGAAAGAGGCAAAGAAAGGTAAAATGAAGGGTTTATATAGAGTTTAATTTGCAACTTTGGTCCCTCATCTTTGCTTTTATTTTTATTTGTCATGGACCTTTACATTTTTAAATTTAAAGATCCATGTTTTCATTTCTTTTCACTTTGGTCCCTCAGTTTATTCAAAACGATCATATTCTCATCTTATGGGAATGTCGTTTTGAATTTTTATATTAGATCCTAGATTCTTGATGTTTTTTATTTGTCAACTTTAGATTTTCATTTTCCGCCTGATTGAGGAAAAATTTGCCAAGGAGTTAAAAAAAAAAAAAAAAAAAAAAAATTTACGTTTGAATTTAGAAATTATTAGGTGTTTATTAACCATGTGAATATTATGCTAGCAATAATCTTTGTTGGTCTCACCTATGTGATTGTATCAATGGGCATGTATAAACATTAAAATTTACAAATTTTTCTAAAGTTATTATTTAATTAATCAATAAAAATAAATAAATAATTAAATAATAAAATAACAAGATGAATTTATAATTTAACTAATATCTAAAATATATTTAGATTAAGTCTAATTATTTTAATAAATTTAATCTTATTTTATACGTACATTATTTTATTGTCACCATATTTATTTTTAGAGTTTTCTGAATAAAACATAATTTCTCATGTTACGCTCTATAAATAAAGGTCTTTCACGAATATTAAGAGGAAAAACTATAAATGATTGCAAAAAGGATACCACAAAGCCTCCAAAAGCAATAGAAAAATGCATCTTCTTCATAAAAGCAAGACCAATCCTCTTCTTCGATATCTTATTCTCAAAAGTAAGCAAACATATCTTTTAAATCTATAACATATCTTTTTGAGTATTACGGAGGCTGTGAAAAAGCAACACTCTATGCATATCAAAATTTTACCTTCAAATATGATCAAAAGACTGACAACAATCAAGAAACAATAAGTCTTTTACTACTTCAACTGATCTTTTTTCCAATAAGAATAACTCTCATCTTAATATTAAGTAAGTCATCATTCGAATAAAAAATATCACGAAAATTTT